TAAGGAAGCAGGGGCAGTCAGATTTCAGCAAATGGAAATGAAAAAAAGATAAAAATCAAACCAACATACTTGAGATACCAGGTGCTCTAACATTCTAAAGCCATGACTCAACCAAGCTTTCTTTAACATCTGCTGTAGGACACTACTAAAATGGTAACATAATTGTCCTGGTGACCTTCCCCTCCTTCTCTGAAAATGTCTTTCTGGGTAAAGTCTTCCTGAACTGATGTCCTCCCACAGGTGATCTCTAGCCATACAATCTTAAGTTTACCCTAAAGCAAGTTCACCTTAGAAGCTCACAGGCATAATGCAAATGAAAAAATGCACTGAAAATCCACTGTTTGACTCGTTTTAATTTAATCTCACTCATCTAACAGCAGAGGTATCCCTCAGGAAAGACCACACCAGCCCTGAGTGGTAACACACCAGCAGGATCTGACACTGATGAATTTGAAAGCTGCTTTTTTACCTGCTGGACAAGGTGTCAAATATGCCAACTTTTCCATCATCTGTTCCAAAAGCCAAGGAGCCTTCCTTAGTTGGATGCCAGGATAACTGCAAAAAAATGTAGAGAGATACAAAATGACCTAAGCTACAAACACTTTATTGCTATATAATAAACAAAAGGAAAATGCTGAAACTGATGAGCAAGGACCTTTTAACCACCCTTCCAACCAGAGCCACTTGATTTGATCACTATGCTCTGAGCATCAAAGGCTTTCCCCCTTCCAGTTATGATGGGATAAGATGCAAGGGACTAAAACTATGCTGTTTGACAGCTACATTACAAAACAGAAATAGCTGCCAGTTATTTTACCAGGCAGCTTTTGACCAACTAGTGGTTAAACCCCAACTGAAGACACCTGTGTTGGCTGTATTGGTTTTTGGTATCTGTCAAACTTCCTAGCAGAGGCAAAGGCAACCATGGATGAAGGAAGGAAGAATCATCAAAGAGGATAAAAGTGAAAGAGTAACATAACAGCTGGACTTCAGCTTATTTCTACTAGATGTAAATGCAAGCTTCTAGGATTGTAAACAGGTCTAAAAACTTATTGCCAGATTCTAAAATGTATTGTATACAGAAAGAATTGAGTAGAAAATTAACAACTTGGCTTTATCTCATTTTAGTTGGGACAAACCTTCAGAGTGAAATAGCGAAAAAACCATACTTGAAAAATTTTGAGTGAAATGAAGAGACAAGGGGGGGAAAAAAGGAATCCAAAGCACACTTACTGCTGTAACCTTGGACTTTATGCTTTGCCAGAAGGTTTTAACATCATAAATGTTGTTCACAGACAAAGTGTTCCACACTCGGATCATGCTGTCCCCAACCCCGATGGCAAGGCAGCCTGTGTCCACAGGGGAGAAGGCAAGGCTGTAGACAAATCCCCCAAGGGACGGCATGGTCCAGCTGCACTCCAGAGTTGACAGATCCCAGCATTTCACCTGAAGAATGTTTAAGGAACAAGGAATGGTTAAATACAGAGTGACTGATAGGACAAGAAAAAACAAAGCAAAAATAAAATGAATAATCAAAGGGATTGACAGGATGTGATCTGCATCCAGAATATTCCATGCCACAGACAGGAATGCAGCAGCTGCAAGAGTGAAATGGACATAATGAATATATTTTACTAAGTTTCTCCTCCAATTTCAAAACAGGAAATACTCTGCTGCCTGTAAAAGACCAAAGATTGGAAAGAAAACCCGACTAAAAAGATCGATGCATTAGTTTATACAATTAAATGACTTTAAGAATGAAAACTAGGCCTTTAAAAAGTGAAACACAGAGGAAAAGAAATGGAAAACACCTTTCATTAAATGCTTACTATTCAAATCCAGAGTGTCATAAGCATTCACTCCACCATGCTAAGAGGTTGAGATTATAAACTAACAGAAACATACACAACCTGTGCTCAGAACAAATGTTATAAAATGCTAAAATAAACCCACTTCAAGAGAAAAACTGTGGCCCTGAAAGGGTAAATCTTACTCAGTCAAATGGCATTGTAGAGGCATTCCTATGTTAATTTTTAAACAGTTCTTACATCTCTGTCCATTGAAATGGAAAAAAGGAGCTCTCTGTCTTGGTGCTTCACAGAACTGAGATTGAACACAATTCGGGAGTGGTTTTGTCCTTCTGAAGATCCCAGAAGAGTCCACTTTCGTTTGACAGGCAGGGTCAAATTCCAAAGGAGCAGTTCTCCTCTGCAAAATTGAAATTTATTTAAATTTTTCACTTCAGAAGAAAAGCACAGGCCCTATACAGACTATATGACAAATATACTGCAAGTCAGGAGTACCAGAGCTCTGCAGACATCCAGTGCCTGTACAAAGCTACACACACACAAACTCCACCTGAAAACTGACATTTTTTTCTGCAGTAGATGGGTAAAACCAGAATTAGTGCTATTAGCAGTCAATATTCAGTTAGATTATGGAATAAAGAGTAAATCTCTCAATGTCTGAACTCTAACTCTTGGTCTGTTTTCTCCTGTTACACTGGAAAGGAAGAAGGGGGTTGTCTTTTCCACTTTTTCTACTCGGCACTTCCTTCAGTAGGAACAAAGGAACGTGCAGCTGCTGCTGAGTGCCCCACTCACCCAAAGCCACTGGACACGATGTCAGAGGGCCGGCCAGCAGGCCAGTGGACAGTCAGCCAGATGCGCTCCTTGACCGCCGGATCCACGGCTCCACCTCTTCTCTTGGTGGGGGGCAGCTTCAGAGTCACCACACCTGCACAACCAGGAGGCATCACTGCACCTCACACGTTCTCAAACAGATACAGGAGTCCTGTGAATCTGCAGCTCTAATGACATTCCCCATGGTTTTAGCACAAAAAGGCTGCAGTTCAGGAGCTATTCCACACCTTGTTACTGTTTATATCTTACTTACTCCTGCCTCTGGTACAGCTCCATATTCGTATGGTTTGATCCTTGCTTCCAGAGGCCAGGTAACAACCTTTCTTCGTGGCTGTGTCCTGTGTCAGATCCCCATTTGGAACCTTGCCTTCTTCTGAAGGAGCTGCTGAGTATCATTGAAGTTATTATTATTCTTTAAAATTCAAAGCTTCATAAAAACAAGCAGAAAATTATATTCATTTGTATCAGAACATATTTTATTGAACTTATCAGTTGCTTAGCTAGTTATTAACCTTCTGTAAAAAATTCACTCCTTAAGAAGGACATTTACATGAACTAAAAATTACTCCACAAACTATTAATCACGTTTACATACCCTGGAGCTCATCCTGCCAAGCAGGTAACCTTTCCTCCCCAGGCACAGGGCACCAGGCCAGACAATGGATTTCATCCTCATGGCCTCTCAGCCGGTGCACAACTTCTCTCTTCCTGCTGATATCAATTATCACCACCATGCCATCCTTGTAGCTGAAAGGAGAATTTTAAATTAATCAAGAGATTCTTGGGTGTTTGTGGAATAATATCCAAGGTGATTTACAGGCTCTTTCCAGGGTCACTATCACCCTATTACACAGAAGCCAGTCTGGACCCTTACACTTTTAAGGATTTCTTTACCTTTGCAGGTTTACCAAATTTAAATGTTATTTCGAATTTGTTTTACTTCAAAACTAAAAGAACAGCCACCAAGACCTCTTAAATTTTAACTTTCAACCGTGTAACAAAACTTCACAATTAAATCTTGCAGAAGAAGAGTGAAAAACAAAACATAAAGAATATTAACTAATGAGCATTTACCCAATGGCCACCAGGTTTTCATGATGAGGAGAACAGGTGAGGCAGAAAACTGTCCGGGGCTCTGGGAAGAACTGCTGGCTGTCACTTCTGTTGTGCCAGTAACAAACAATGACACCTTTCTCATCACCAGACACAATGAGATCTTTCACAAGAGGTGACCAGTGCAATGCCGAGATCGCGTTCTGAGGGAAGAGCATTGGAAACGTTTAAAGCTGTTTTACTGGCATCTAACACAGAATAATAGGCAGCAAATAATCTGTGAGCACTGCCCAGCATCAGTTAGTTTGTCCCACAGTGTTTCAGTTCTTTCAGGTTTTAGAGGATGGATGGAGATGCTGATGGGTAAGAGTAACTCTTTAAATATACACTCAGTCTGTCCCATGGGCCACAGCAACCTGCTGAGATCACTCTAGGCGAGCTGGTTTAAGCGGCAGTGAGTCAAAAGCACGCTTCACTGCGGCTCTGATGACAACCAGCAGCTAATTACGGTGATGGAACAGCGCTGCAGGCTAAGAAAAAAGAGCCGGCCAGGAGCGCCCAACGCACTTAATTCCACCGGGTCTGAAATTCGCTTTTGGGCAAAGCAGCCTCACCGTGGTTTGTGTGCGAGCCCCAGAACCCCGCAGCCCATCCCGCGAGTCCCTCTGCCCGTGTCCTACCTGGTGCAGGCTGTACTCCAGCACCGGCGACAGAGTCCCGCTGTCCCAGATTTTGACGCTCCCGTCGTCCGAGCTGCTGGCGCAGAGGTTGCTCTGCCCGGGGCAGTGGCAAAAGGCGAATCCGGAGATCCTGTCCGTGTGCCCGATGAGCTCCCCTGCCGCGACAACGAGAAATCGTCACGGGACACTCGCAGCCTTCCCAAACCTCCCGCACCCCTAAATCCCCGCCTCCCGGCGAAGGGGAGGCCCCGCAGACCCCCGTACAGTGTGAGGGGCTGGGGAAGGTTGTGACGGTACCGTAAAACGCGGGCGCGGCGGAGACATCCAGCAGGCAGATGCGATGCCTTGCTGCGAAGCCGAAGAGGCGGCCGTCGCTGCTGGCGTCGCTGCAGCGGCTGCTGTACCAGTTGGGGGAGGCGGGCAGCGCCCGCACCCCCATTCCCGTTCTCGTTCCCGTCTCTGTCTCCATCCCCGTCCCCGCCGCCATCGCCCCGGGTCCCCCCGCGCCGACCCACGTGCCCCGGGCGCTGCCGCCAAGCGCCGCGCACGCCGCCGCAAACTGTCGCAAACCGCGCCCTTGCCCGTGCGCCCGCCCGGGGCGCTGCCGCAAAGCGAGGCCGAGAAGATGGCGGCGCGCTCGGCGCTGAGCGCGGGTGAGGCTGAGGGGATGCGGTGCTGGTTTGGGAGAGTCTCGCTTAAGATGAGGGATGATCGGAGGGATGGAGCAGCTCTCGTATGAGGAAAGGCTGGAAGAATTGGGATTGCTCAGCCTGGAGAAGTGAGGCTTCGGGGTGACCAAGTTGCAGCCTTCCAGAGTCTGAAGGGGTGATGGAGTGAGAGGATAAGGAGGGGGTGGCTTCAAACTGGCAGCGAGTAGACAAAAGATTAAGACAAAATTCTTTCCTGTGAGGGTGGTAAGGCCCTGGCACAGGTTGCCCAGAGAAGCTGTGATTGCCCCATCTCTGGAAGTGTTCAAGGCCAGGCTGGGTGGGACTCAGAGCAGCCTGGGGTAGTGGAAGGTGTCCCAGCCCATGGCGAGGGGTGGGACTGGATGGTCTTCAAGGTCCCTTCCAACCCAAAGCTTTGTGTGATTTTATGATTCATGCCTTGGTCACTTTCCCTTCCGTTCAGGTGCTGCCTGGGCGCGGGGTCTCCTCAGCTGGGCTCGGCCAGAGAGGTGAGTCTGGCTCTGTCACCCATCCCCCGGTGCTCTGGGCACTGGGACAGGCATTGCCCTGCTGGGGTACTTGGGGCTGGGGTCTGGGGTCGCCTGGCATGGCCATCTCACCTAGCCCGGGAGCTGTGGGGAACAGCTCACTCTCTGCCCCTGTGGTGTCTTTCTGTGTATTCAGAGCTTGTGCCATCATGGATGGAGCTGTTTCTCTCCTCATTTGTTTCTGTTGGACATCCATATTTTCTCTGACTTCCTAGTTCAGGTCACAGCAATGTGGTATCTGTGCTGTCCCCAGTCACTGCTTTCTTTAGTTGCTGAAGTTCCCCCTCATTCTGGAGGAATCCCATAGTTCTGCTGCAGGACCACTGGAACTGCCACCTATATCCCTGAAAATATCTGAAAAAAATATTCCATGACATTGAAATACATATATTATGCTAATCTTTGTTTCTGGGACGTGAACAGTGGTGTACAATGCCCTTTGGAAACTAATCAGCCTGCTCTGTTTGCCTGTCATTTTTAAGATGCTTTGCATGGGTTGGCCACACACACACAGACATTCAAGGCTCAGTAAAACTCACAGTATTTGGTCTTGAATTCATCTGTTACTTGTAGTCACAAGTGGCTGCCTACTGCTGCTTTATCCAGGCAGCAGGGGACAAAATGTAGCTTGGTTTTTCAGAATCTGAGGTTGCAAACTGCCTGAAAACTTAAATTTATTGCTATCAGCAATCTGGTTTTTATATTGACTTGATTATGCTTTGGAAGCAGTTTAAAACACCTCTCTCTTCAAATTTCATTATGTTTATAAACCTCTAATGCTCCGAGATACTCAGCCCCTTGAAAAACTAGAAATTTTCACTGCTAAATATGTTGTTGGTAAACGTTTAATAAGTATGGAGTGTACCTTGGGAAAGGTACAAATGGTTTGTGTTAGTCCTGAACACCACGAGAACGTCAGAACAGAGGTGACTGTGACTTTGTGTGACAATCTGAGGACACTTAATGTGGAATCCCATACCAGTATTCATGGTTTGCTTTAAGAAGCTTGAGTCTTCTTGCTGAATTGAAAAGCCCTTTCAGCATAAACTATAAAGGACTTTAATATTTTGGTTTTTTGAGTACACAAATTGACAGTTCTCTTTTTCAAGACTGCAAGTTCACAATTTTCCAAATAAACTGGGCAGGGATAAAGCTGTATTCAGCAGCTGAGGCTGTGGTCTTGTCTTGCAGGTGGCTGGCACCTGGTAGCATTTTTCCTCTGTCATGCATCCACACAAGCACATCTCTGCAGAAAATTGGGAAGTGGGAGAAGAAGAACAGGATTGTTTACCCTCCCCAGCTGCCTGGAGAGCCTCGCAGACCAGCTGTAAGGATGTACCTGTGAATGTCCTTACCTGAGAATGTTTAGCAATTATTGAATAGATTGTCACTGTCTGCACAGGGTGACTGCACAAGACAGTAGTTTGAAAGCTTATTTGCTCATTATTTAGGATTTTATTCAGTTTGGCTGCATGGTACAAGTTAATATCACTTGGAATGCTTTCCATCTCTAAATTATATTGGATCCTCTAATTGCTTGCAGCTGATCACTTAGTGTGTGGTTCAAGCTGTAGGGGGCCCATCCTCTGCTTGTAGAAGTCTCTGAATTACAAGGAGGTAGAAATTGCACTGTCAAGAGCTGATATTCTGGAATTCCATTGTTACCATTTTTCTTCATTAGGAATTGATGTGTTGTGGCTTCTGTTAGACACATTGCTCAGTACAGTAAAAGTATTTACATTTCAAAAGAAATGGGTTTTTTTTTAGGAATGTATTCTGTGGGCCATGAGCACGGATTGCTCTTGTGAACATTGTGGCCTAGGACATAGAAATCCCTGCTGTGGACTGTGCTGACTGATGCAGTGTGTGTGAAAACGCAGCTATTGACAGACTCGTTTATTAAATCAGTGTTTTGCCTGTTTATCAAGAGTGCCATCTCTTTAAAATTTGTATTGATGTTAGATTCTACTGACTGGTGCTGGTCCCTGTTAGCAATAATGTTAAATGGGTCTGTGGAGGCAGCTCTTTGTTCCAATCAAATTTGGAACCCTCTTCACTTCTGAAGAGCTAATTAAGTTCATTCTGGTAATATTGTTTATTTGCTCTCCCAGTAAGTTGAGTTGACAGCAAAGTAATATTTTTAAAGCTGAATGGGCATGTCAGTCTTTGCTTCTAAAGTGGGGAGAATGAGAGGAAAAGATGGTGCTTCTGATTATCGTTTTCAGGGACTTCTGCTTATAAACTAAGTGTCATAAGATTGTATTAAAATTTCCTGTGTGCCAGCACCTTTTTTTAGTGCTTTTAGTTTCAAATGTCAAAGCTATGCCTGATATACTGTTCTCATAGTAGGCAGAACCATTCTTATTTTATTCCTAGTAAGAACATAGATTGTGGAGCACACATGGATGTTCCATTCACAGCAAAATTTCTCATCCTTCTTTGTTTTGCCCCTAGGAAATATATCACTGTCGGAGGGAAATAAAATACAGCAAAGATAAGATGTGGTATCTGGCAAAACTGGTAAGCAAAGAGTGCTTTGTACTGTGCTTGAGAGAATGCAAAATTTAATTGCTGTATTTGTCTTAACAGCCTCATTCAATCACAATTTAATCAGCATCTTTATAGCAGAGTCCTGGGGATGAGTATGGATCTGGACAGGAAATGGCTGTTTGTAGTTTGGTTTAGCTGTAAGGTATTACACTGAAGAAATGGTAATTAGGAAATGACACTATTTTTGTTTTTATAATAGCAGTATAATTTATGTCTTCTGAATAAGAGAAAGGAAATATTTGTAAATGCAGAAGTTAATTTTAACACTCTGATTGCAGATAAAAGGAATGTCCATTGATCAGGCTCTTGCTCAGCTGGAATTTAGTGACAAAAAGGGAGCAAAGGTGATTAAAGAGGTAATAGCAATATTCTTTAACATTCCGGGTTTCCAGAAAACTTTAAAGTCAATACCTGTCACCAGAAGTTTGGAGGTGTTTCTACTTCTATTGGTTTTTGTGTTTCAAGTAAGCGTGCTAGGAGCACATTCTAACAACGGATTTTTGCTGCACTCATGTAATGCTGTGACTTACGAATATGTTGGGATCACTTGTGCTAGGTGTTCTGATTTTTCATGGTGATAAATTCCACGTGGGTGTCCTCTCTAGCAGTGCTTGGTGTTAAGTTAGTGGTAAAAGGTGCAGAATTCTGGTCACTAATGGCTGTGTGCTTTGGTTCTCAAACTGTAAGAGATGAAGGATATTATTAAGGAGAGGACTGAGTTCTCTAAAGGCACAAAAGCTTTGAATACACTCTAGTAGTTTCGATTCTCAAATTACTCATTTTCTTGGCTGAAGTGTTGATTTGTGGTATAATTATGGCAAAGAAATGTCCTGTATTCACTAAAAATATTGAATGGACCAAGTTCATTTTGCCCACCTTGGAATTTCTTGCTAGTCAGATGTCTAATTCCACAAAGGTTCGTGGATGGAAGGCTGACAAATACTGGTGGAAACCAAGTTTTCCACTCCCTCCCCAAAAATGTAATAAAATTGTCCTGAGGCTTTTTCATTCTATTCAAGGAACATCCTTATGTAAGAGATGCTTGTCTTTTAGCAGTTCTTATCTCTGTAAAATACTTTTTCCATAACTGACTTAAACTTGCAACTTCTTTCATGTTATCTAGAGATAAGAAATAGCATTGCTTTAATTCCTCCTCAGTATTTCCATTTCTTTTCCTTTTGTTACAGGTTCTGTTAGAAGCACAGGAAATGGCTGTAAGAAAGCACAATGTGGAATTCAAATCAAATTTACACATAGGTACATTTTTTAAATTTAGTGCATTAGAAAAATGTCATCCTACTCTATCCTACCCTATGAAAATGTCTTGTATTTAATAAGATTTTGAGGCTCGATATCACCAGAAGTGAATAGAGGACAGTTTCTGCTAAACTTAACTTTACCAAAACATGAAAGGCACATGTTTGCAGCATTTTTAAGATGGATGTATCCATCTGAGAGTGGAAATTCTGATCTCTCCTGAACAGAAGGTCCTGAGGAGGAAGATATTTGACACAAATATGAAAGACTGGACAACAAGAAGCAAACAGTTTCTAGTTTTTAATGTTGCCAGTCAGAGATGCTGGAAGCTTTGTCTGTGGCTGGTACAGCTTGATTTGCAGGATCCAAGTTAAACTTCATCAGACACAGTATAAAAGTAAATGGGTTATGACAGTAAACATCTTGATATAAAGATTTGTCTTTAGATGATTTCCAGGATAAGCTTGTAATGACTAAAGTGCTTTTTAGCCTGGAAAGATGTTAGAGAAATGTTTACTCTTGGGTATTTTGAGGCCCAAAGAAAAATATTCCCATTTTGTCTAATAGGGAATAAGTTTTACTGAATTGACCTCATAAGCTTAAAGTCCCCTGGACTGTAGAGAGATTTGATTAGAATTCTTTGGAGCCTTCCAGGCCTCTGCCACAAGAAGGCTCATCTGTAGTGCAGGACTGGATGTGCAGATAATGAAATTCCTGTGATGAATGCAATAAAGGGAAAAGGAGGGAAAACGAAGTCTGTAAGACTTTACAGGAATTCATGAGACAAACTACTGAAATGCACTGAAACAAATGTCACCTTCTGAAGAGCTGTATAATCTAGTAAGTGCTCAGTGTGATTTGTCCTCCACCATATACTTATCTTCGTGTGCCTGCTTTCTTAAATTCACCTTTTTGGTGCTCCTGAAGAGCGTTAATGCAGCTCACGGGTTCCTGTGCAGCAGTGAGCTGCTGAATGTAACAGAAGAAAGATGGAGGGGAGAATCCCGAGTAGAATTAACTTTCTAGAAGCAGCCATGAAAAATACCCTGGCAAGAGAGGTGTTTTATTGCAGCTGTAGCAGTTTGTTCTTGATTGAATAATCTCTCCCTTCTCCTTTTTCCTTCAGCGGAGTCGCAGACGGGCAGGGGCCGCTACGTGAAGCGGGTGCGGTGCCACGGCAAGGGCATGTTTGGCATGATGAAAATCAGCAGGTGCCACTACTTTGTGAAGCTGGTGGAAGGTCCTCCTCCTCCCCCAGAGCCACCAAAGACTGGCTTTGACCAAGCAAAGGAATATGTGCAGCAGCTGCGAAACAGAACCCTTGTTCACACGCTGTGACACAGTTTAGTGGCTGTACAGTATCTCCTGTTGGGCAATGTAATTATGTAAAGGAATAATAAAAGTCATGGTTTAGTTATATCTTTGGTGCTGCTGGAGCTGGGTGATGTGAGACAAATCATGGGTTTTTTCTTATTTGTCAAGTCACAGGTGTGGAAAAATCTTGGAGCAGCAGATGTTACTTTTTCTGAGTTACTTGGACCACAGCATTCAAGCTCAACCCTGGACTGTCAAATCTAAAACATATGGTGCTGCTATAAAGCTTGGTGTCTCTGTTAAGTATGGTGGGCCTTTTATTGTAAAACTGTGCTTGACAGTCATGTTGTAAGATCAAATCTCAAACTAAAATTTGATATCTTAAAGTAGTTACAACATTGGAAAAACACAAGTAACAGTGGACAAAACAAGTAACAATAGTATTTCAGAATATCAGATACCAATTTTTGTTTTTTCTGGGACTGGGAAATAAAGAAATGCTTGGAAGTTCAGGCTTTGGCAGTAGGTGGCAATATTTAGTTTGTCAGAGAGGAAGTGGCAGTGAAAACTTCCAAAATGGTCAAACTATTTTGGATTTTGCCCATGACATTATTAATCTGATACAGCATGGAGTTCAGGCTGTTCTCTGGAAATTCATTGTGGGTAACAGGCAAAATGTGGAGAAAAGCTTTATTTTTTTTTTTTGTGAAGAGTGTACTAATTCTGCATTGTCTGGAAACAAATTGCTTTTCTAACATTGAGGAAAATGAAACACTCCATAGATTTAATATGAAAAGGCTTGTTGCATATACAAATCAGGCTTTCAGTTCTCTGAAAACAATCCCATTTTTATCATTACTTCTTTGAAGAGAAAAAGACTTAAGATTGATAGGGAGAATCTCATTTCACTCAGTCAGATTTTCAAATCAAGATGTCCACAGTTGATGAACATCAGCATAAAAGCAGAATGAGCAGCTGCTTGTACATGCAAATATCTGATATTTAGACTTTTCCTTTCCATTCTGGGAACATTAGAGTGGGAGATAGGCTGCTTGTTTCATTTGGGTCTTTTTGGTAGCTTTTCTTACATGTGTTTACTTTTATCAGTAGTTGGATGATGGCAAAAGGACAGTTCCTGTAAGGAAACAAATTATTTTCATTAAAAAAGGTTAGTACAGAGTGATTTCTTCTGGCTACCAAAGAAAGGGTCTCATGATGTTAAAGAGTATTAGGGGATGGTGAAGTTACACAAGAAGCACACTGAGAGCTCAGTACCATTAATGGGGACCTATTTGCACTCTGGTTTTCTGCAGTGTACTTTCAAACACATTTCTTGCTGTAAAGCCACGATTTAGTAACTTGCCTGAAAGGTGTGTTCTGATAAAACTCTCTATCTCTGCAGTCCCTGATGTGTGTTTGAAGAACTGTTGCTGTTGTACTGTGATAAACAGCTGTGCTGGGCTCTGCCAGCTGCCCTTAAACTCTGTCAGAGAGAATCTCTTACAAGTTGTAGCAAACTTGAATTGTTTATAACCTTCTTGGGGATCACTGATCTGGGAGAAGACTAAAGAATTGCAAAATAATCCAAGTTTAGGAAGCACTCACGAATATTATGCTTAGAGACGTCTAAATATCTAAAACCTGGCCTCTAGGAATTTTATTCCAGTACCTGTTTCTCCTGCATGCTGTAGATTTTGCTTCAGATCCTTTCTGGACCTCCAGAGAAGGCTGTATCCTTAGAGATATCATTATTCTGGTTATGAATCCACACACAGAGAGAGAAGTGAGAATGTGACTGATGTATTTTCCAGTTTCTTTATGATTTGCAGGTGGCCCTGAAAGTCCTTTAAACAACCAGACCTGGGCTTTAAAAAATGTTTCAGTTAAAGAGCAAGGTTGTTGCTTGTTCTTGTTTTTTTCCTCAAGACAGTAAGTGGGAAAACTAATTTTTGGCATGTTTTTAGTATTCTTGTGTTTTTTGGTAGCATTTTCTGCTGTCTTAAACGTTTATAACCCAGAGCTGATCTTTATGGTGCTGGCAGAGGAAGCTCCACAGCTGTGTCTTATGACAGGAGTGATGGGAGATGGGGTGAGGTGAGGAACTGCCTTGGTCCCTGCCTTTCCCTGCTAGGATGGTAAGAATGTCTGGAATGGTTTCTGTAGTAGGTCCATCAGAATGCTGGGAACCTGAACCTTTTCCAGTTCAGTAAGGTCTCGTGACATAGCTTTATACTGGCAAGTTCTATATATAATTGTATATTTATAATTTTCAGAGGTTTTATTCTACTGTGCTTTCGTGGTAATTAGGGCTTCTGCGCCTTAGTTAGGTGCTTGGTACAGATTCAGACACAAATTTCCATGCTAGCTGCAATAAGCCTTCAGCAGATCATTTATTATAAAAGAATTCTTTAAAATGAGCTGTCACCAGAAGGGATGGAGAGGCAGTCAGGCCTCTACTTGGTGCTGATTTCATGAGTAACATCTGGGGGCACTGTAAACTCACCACTGGTGTGTGTTTGTGCTGGGGGTACAGAACCAGGAGAAGGAGTAAGTACATGTGAAGGTGTAGTGAGGCTTCAGGGAAATCTGAAGAAAGCAGAACTGTAAGCTCTGCTCAGCAATGTGAGATTTAACTGAGGAGAAACTTGCAAGCCTGCTTCGGGCTTGTTCATAAACATTTTGAAGTATCCAGTGAGAAAGTAGAAGTACTTGAGTCAGGCAGCCTGGTATCTTTAAGGGTATGTGTAGTTGGTTGGTTGTTTTTTCCTTTTTAAGACTTCTAGGCAGTTATTAATGAGGTGGTTAATCAAAGAACCACCTCAGAGTGGTGATTCTTTCTCACCCCAGAGTAAGAAAGGCTTATGATTGTAGTTATAAAATGATTATCATCCATTTTTAAGCATGGAAGATAAATGAGAGTGTGGGAGACAGTGACTGGGCAGTTGGGTACTGCTGGTCCTGGCCAGGTCTGTACTGGGAACTGCTGTGGTGAGGTGAGTTCCATTCGGGCTCAGCTGGTCCCTGGGCACTGCCAGGTGTGTTCTGCCCGGTGCTTCAGCTGTGTTGCTGTACCTGGTGTGAACTTGGCTCGACTAAGGTCGTGCAGTGCAAATCCTGTGATTCCCTGTTGGCACAAACACGAGCTGTGTGACATTCCTGTCTCCTCTGCACTGTGCTGTCACTTGGGAAATCCTTCAGTGACTGGAGTGAAGGAACAATAGGAATCACTGCTTCCTGCCAGTCCCTATGGAAATCCACTGCTGGGATGCTGGAAAGTAATTTGCAAACAGAATTCTGCTTTGAATAGAAATAAGGTTACTCCTAATGTCTCCAGTGAACCACAGAAACAGAGTGTGACATTCCCCAGAATATGAGCTACAGTCCTGCTGAAAAGGCCCCTAGTTCAGGCTCTTCAGAGAACAAGCCTTTATTGCTGAATGACATTATCCAGCAGCACTTCAGCCATGTAATTTAAAATAATTAAAAGCTGAACAAAGTAAGTGACTGTAATGGCAGAAATAATCACACAAGTTGCTGTTTGCTGGAGCCTTACATGGCAAAAATAACTTGAGGTGAAAGTTTCAGGGACTGACTTTTAAGTACTTAGGCTGAAGTGAGCAGCAAGGTATCTCTAGGGAATAGTCAGTAAATACAGAGCTCATTTTGTATTTACTCTGTAACATCAACACTCTGCTTGTTTCAAGGAAGTTGTACATTAGTACAGAGGGCAGGCTGCCATTGAAGGGAAGAGCCAAGGAGAGCTTAACTCTACCTTGGGCAAATTAGACATTCACCTCAAGAGTATTAGCTGAGGAAATTAACCTTAACGTCTGAAAACAATGACAAAATGTGGGGCAAAGCACCTGAGTAACTGCTGGATCTGTGGGTGGTGCTTGTGAGTATTGCACAGCAGTGCAGCCATCAAGCTTTGTGTGGTAAAGGACTTGTTGCACCCATGTTCCAGCTCTCAGTGCTTTTCTGTTTACACTGATGAGGACTCCTTTACTGCTTGGAATTTGTCTGCTATGTGGGTGACAATTTTCTATCCTAATAGAAAAGTTGCAAACCGGTTTTCTGTCTTCTGTTATTAATCCAACTCTGATGCCAGCTAAGAGTGGAGTAAAGGCATTTGTACATGGTGTTGTGGGAAACACCATCCATGTGTGCAGCTAATAAGCTGGGATCTGTGTCTACAACTCTCCTATTGATTATCACCTTCAGAGCAAGACAAACATGGGTCCTTACTGTATGCTGGCTATGCAAATTAAAACTTTATTTCAATGAAAACAGAGTGAGATGCACTGCACTGGGCCAGTACAGGACTGCTGTCCAAACCCAGCTCCTCTAGATGCCCAATTCCTTGCCCTCTTTTTTCCCACTTAAGATTCCCAACAGTGCATTAAGATGAACTCAGTAGTTAGTAAATTTTCCACTGTGTAGTTTACAAGCTCAAGGTTATGGGCTAGAACAAGTAGTGTCATGCTATAAATCAGGTGTAATGGAACAGCTTGGGAGAGTGCACAGGAGTCCTTCCCCTCACACTGTGTTTGTCCAAAAACTCTGAAGGTAGAGCTGGCACGAGCCCAGAAACCCCCACAAATGGCTGATTAAATAATTAATAATAAGCCTCGTGCTGCTACCCTCTCCCTTGACAGGTGAATGAGGCAAGACAATTTTCATCTTCTAGATCAAGGTGTGCCTAGAGAAATTTGAGTGTGAAACAACCAGAACTGAGGTGCCCTTAGGAGGGGAAGGTGGATTCCAAAGTCAGGGAAGGGGCAAAATTACTTGAAACTTGGATTTACTTTGGGCTGACTGGAGTCAAGAGCAAGAATGAGAAGTCTGGTGCAGTTGCACCTCTCTTACCTCCAAAAGTCAGTGAAAATTTCTGACATCAAGGCAATACCAGCTGAACTATTGGCTGAGTAACCAGAAGTGTCTGTGTTTGTCTCTAGTATGTCACATTTCAAAGCAGAAATTCCCAGCTGTTCTCATCAAGTCCGAGGTGTTTCAGAGATACTCTT